CTCTGTGTTTGCAGTTACTGTGTGCACCTGCGGGTGAAACAGGCCAGTGCAGCGTGTAAACTCAAACTGTGGAGTGCTCAGTTGGTGAGAGAGAGGCTGGTCTGTGCAGAGTGTCAGAGTGATGCCATGTCAAAGTCTGACCGCTGTGGAGGTGATGGCCTAGAGAGCACCAGGTAAACCAAACAGCCAAAAGTAAACTAAAGATACATTCATCCACTACATTTCAGGAGTATACCCAAAATCGGAGTGGCCACACGGCCACACGGCCACATGACGACATTAAAGCCACTTTGTGTAGACATTTGGGCTGAATTTTTCTACTATTTAAAATATATGCAATAGAACCATTTGAAATATGCCATAATCACATAAAATCCGCACAAAGTGGATTTTAACAACACAAATGAAAAATTTTAATTTGGAAAAATGTACCATTCAAATATATATTGTACATATAGTTATATTGCCTCAATTCAAGTCAATTCAAATTAGCTTTATTGGCATGAATGTGTAACAACTATATTGCCAAAGCATTATACAAACTACATCAATCAACCCCATACATTTCATTAAACAAGTAATTAAAGCGTAAAGTAATCAAAGTGTATGTGTGTTTGTGTGTGTGTTAAAAAAATGCCTCAAACTGTCTGTTTCTCCTTAGAACATTCTGGGCAGCAGCTTCAGTCCCAGGTTGTCATGGGTCCTGGGTGCGAGAGTCGTTTTCACAGAGGTGCCGGTGTCCTCCCTATTCGGTGCTCTTTGTGTGAGCCGATATGCAAACCCCAGACATCCATATGCAGTGACAAGATTTCCTCTTAACACCTCCTGCTAACTGGGGAGAACCCTGCCAGCCAAGCCAGACCCCTCCGACCCAGAATATTGGATGGGTAACTCAAGGAGATCAGCAGCATCCTGCCACTTTTTCCTTTCACCTCATACTCTGTACTGTATACAGCATTGCTAAGCACAATTCTTGCATTTAACTTCCGATTATTTTACGTCACGGTATGTACTTATCCTCCTCCAAAGCACAGCAACATCTATATGCCTTTTTACCTCTGAATCTTTGCTATCTACCTCCATTAATGCGAGTGCATTTATTAATGCATAATGTATAAATATATTATTTTGCTTTATACATTTTCTACTTTTGATTGTGTATGTATTATGTATATGTGTCTATATAGCTACACTTCTTTGTGTCCAACCGTTTAAACACCAAACAGCAGTTGCTGCACCCAGTTTAAGCCCCAACTTTGGGTTCTAAATCACCTATAGGTTGGAGATGCTGAAAACTCGTTCATCCAAATTGTATCCATTGCTAGAATCATTGAGTCACTATATCTGTGTTTTACAGTTTTGTCCCTATTATTATATCTTTTCAACAAAAACATTTATACCAGCAAGTCAAGTTGAATATCAGGTATTGATTCTCAGGTGCTGAGATTTGTGTCTTTGTCTCCCATCAAGCTTTCTATTTCATGTCTGCCTCTTCTGGTGGTCAGTTAATGATGTTTTTAGTAGTTTAGGCCTATTGTTGGAGAGGAAAAAAGAGCCATTTAAGAGAATTTCCCAGTGGTTCTCTCTGTCCTCTGTGTCCAAGATGGAAAAGAACTGCTTCGTAATTATGTTTTCTCTCACTCCCTGCCCTGCTCAGAAATCCTGTTACCTTCACAAGGGAGTTTTATCAGCAAAGTATAATCTAACTATCACATACAGCCACGTTACTCCTATTTTATTAATTAACAGAATCTCCTCCCAGTACTCCCAACAGCTTCATGAACTGCACTTCTTCTCTGCTCTTGTTGTCTCTACTGACTTGGTGTTGTCTTTAAATGAAACCAGCAGATGAACCACAGCATTACCTTCTTGGCTTAAAAACAGTCAGTCGTCTGGTTCAGTACACCTTCCCGCATCTCTTGTACGGCTGGTTTAAGAAGACGATAAGTGTAGTCCCAGTTAAGGGTCTTTCTCTGTGGAAAGCTGTGACTTTCTCTTTCTCTCCTGTGTCTGTGTTTGTGTGTTTATTTATTATAAAACAAGTGATGATTTTATTAGTGCAGCACAGCATACTCTGTACACTGTCCATTAGTGAAAATAAACAACTATACTTTCATTTCACCCCCTCTCATATTTTCTATGTGGGTATTTCATTGCACTCAGATTAAGCAACACTTGGAAGTGGAGTTTTCGTAACACAGACCACCATTAACATTTCTGACTTCTCCCCTCTGCAATTACTACTATGAGCACTGCTAAGTATATCCCTCGGTTTGACCAGTGTTTACATGCAACACTTCCCAGTTAAAAGAGGAGCGCCGTTGGACATAGGTAACTTAATGCAAACACGTACCCATCAACATATTTTTGTTGCATTCCTGGCATTTTTTTTCCTGTGGTGTAAACGGGATGACGATAAGTAAAATGACAATAATGTGTATAATCAATGTTTTTGTGCTACATTCTTCTACAATTTGGGGTTCGTGTTTGTGATGTAACTGCTGGAGATGATGTGTGGAAAGGCTAAATATGAGGCCTGAGACGCTGACATCATCTGAAAATACATCTGTCACTCACATTTTTTTTGGCTTTCACAGCAGCTCTGGACTATTTAATGGCCAGTTTGCCTCCTCGTTCTTATGATATATGGACTAGTTAACTGAATATGGAGGAGGGGATGTCTAAACCTTGACTCCGACCCTGAAAGGTATTTACAAAGCCACTGCTACTTGCCCTTGCTGACAATTTCTAAACATTTTCCAACCTTATGTCCCACAAATAATGCCAATTAAACCACAATCTCAGAACCTTGTAATGTCTTCCATATTATCTTGCCTTGTGTGAAACCCACCAAGTCATTCATTTTATTGCTCATTAGTCAGGCTGTGTAATGTACAGTGTAGCCCGTCATCACAAGTCCTGTAAACAAGAAGGCAATGAGATTTAGCAAAGGAAAGGTGATGCAAAGCACTACTTAGGGTGGGTTTAAACATGTAGTCCCATATTAGTCCTTTGAGAAAGATCGAAACTCCTGGCTACTTTCATGTGTTTCGTCTCAGAAGCACTTGAACGTTACCTCCTCCATTAATCTCTCTAGCATCCCTCCCCCTTTTCTCTGCACTCCTCCCTCCCTCCACCCTCTCCCTAGCTCCCTACCAAACTCCCCTCAGTCAGCACAACTCTTTATTTTCTCTTACTACAACAGTGGCAATAGAGTGCTGTCAGCCTGACTGTCCATCCCCTATGAAGCAGGCTTTACCTCCCTGGCTGCCCTGCCTCTGCTGCTAACCCGCTTTCCAAAGGGCAGGAAGGCCCATCTCTGGCCCAGTGCCTGATGGGCTCCGACAGCAGTGTGTTCTGGGATTACGCCCGCTGAAAAGGGGGGCATTCCAGCACTGACTGCCTTTGTCACAGCACGGCCACTGTTTGCTTTTGACATGACAGCTGTTCAAAGCCCTCCCGGCCCCCATGGACGGCGTGAAGGGAAAGAACCTCGGGTTGACTTCCGTTTATTGGTGGTGTCTGTGGATATGCCACCTCCACCTGAGGTCCCTTCAGCAGTATATGTATCTGTAGCCCCAGTTTGTCCATCTCATATAATCACATTGTTTTTACATCATTACATTTAAGTCACAAAAGCAAGTACAACATTGTGGAATGAGGGCTGTCACCTGAACTTCTCTTCTAGACTTTTCTATCCTGCAGCTACAAAAATAGTTCCTCCAACCAATGTTGCATCTTCTTGATTTATCTACATTGCTTTACTGGAACATCCTTGACTTCTTCTGTCCTCTCCTAGTGTGTACATGATGCTGCAATTATCTGGTACTCTATCTATATTTCCATCTACCTTGTTTACTTGGTTGTTTGTGTGTGTACACCACGCGTGCAATAGGAAGAGTCACATTTTCCATGTTAAAGTGCAGGGGTGTAGATAGGAATTGTCTGCCCTATACATCCCTTCACCACCATTTCCATCTGTGTCCCCCCATCGACAGCTCAAACACAACCCAATGTATTCATTTAATGATCATTTAATATACTCTTCCTACATGAAATATGTTTTGAACACTCTATTCAGTGTTAATCAGATAATGTACTGACCAATAGCCCTTCCTTTCAAAGCCCTAATTATTTTTGAGAGGGTTTTGTTGGTGGTTCTGCAGCATTCAACCCAGCCTAGCTTCAAATAAATATAAAATAAATTAAATATAAATCATCTACAAACACATGCTCGAGAACTTGCAAAAAACTTTCTAGTTCAGAGATGCAGGAGCCTCCTCAGCTCGTGGGCCCTGTGTATTTGGTACCCCCATTTCCCCTGTGTTCCCCCAGTGTTGTGCATATATGTGTTTTTGGGAATTGTGTACTGTAATTAGCAAGTCATCCTAATGGTTGCCTCTGTAGGAGCAGCTGGTCCAACACAGAGGAATGATAATGAATAGACGCCTCTACATGAGGACCTGAGCCACACACAGCAACACAGCTGGTATAAAACAGAGCCAGTAAACACACATGCATCTTATAATGGTCATCTTGAAAAAAAACCAATCATCATTTTCTTATTTTTAAGGATCAAGCATCATTATCAGACATAACAGTTCATGTCTTTTGGTATATTTTGTAATTGCAATAAAAGATGAGATTCTTTGAACAAGCGAAAACTAAATTTACTTCAAAATTATGAAGTATTATGTTTACTTTGAGTAGAGTTTGATATAGGCAAGTTATTTTCAACAGTAATAAGTGTACTTAGATTGTAAAATCACACCTATTCTACTTTCATCTGAAAATATCACAACACACTACATATATCACAGTGCATAAAAAATTATACTGTACAGTCAGGTACCGTTAATAATTCATTTGATTTCATATGTTAACAGTGCCATCTTTCTGCTGAAGCTCATCCAAATTCCACCCTAGAAATGTGGCGTCACCTTGTGGTGCTTTTGACTTCCTGCTCCATTTTAAAAGAAACACAATTTATAAAACACAACTCCCCTTATAAATGTTTTTATTGGGTATGTGGTTTTGATTACAATGCATGATATACATGGCAAGAATTAAACCTTGTGACTGCAAGTCATTTATTTTCTTATTTCTGACTGTTTTAGTGGAATAACCTTTTGTTTTAGTTTAACTTAAAAATGGTTCATCTACTCATACATATATCCCAGAGAAAACATGTATGACTACAGTTAATGGGATATTCCTTCAGTTTTTATATTCACGGCGAGCTTGTTCACATTATTTGTGCTGTACAATAATTCACTGAATCACATTCTGTCACATTTATATAAAGCTAGGGAAAGCACTGAATTACATGAACATATTTTAAACTAAAAGTAGAGAGTCTACGATACATAAAAATAACATGTAAGGCAAAAGTGACTTGAGCTTGAAGTGTCCATGAATTAAGAGTTAGCAATAACATATGAATCACATACACAAAACATTTCACTTTCAGACAGATCTGTCAAGACCTTCTCCTTTTGCTGAATTCTTAATCAATTAACAATACTCTTGCCCATTAGTCAAACTATTCATCTGTTTTACCTGAATGATGAACAAATTAGTAGCCACTTGTACATCTCTGGCAATAGAGAAAAACTGATCAAACTGTAATCATCCATACCAATGCAAATTCAATGGACTACTTTCAGACAGATGTGCAGTGGAGCATGATGAAGGACCTGGACAGAGACAGTCCCTTGCATCTAATACACACAAGAAATAGAGTCTTTAGCACACAAATCAATGAAATGGCAGAAGGAATTTTGACACAAACTTGGATTGATGGGTAAATCTGAAACATAAATTACCTCTCAGTCATTCAAGAAGAAAATAATACGGATAAAAAAAAGTCTTCACTTGCATATCTGCCAGCGTTATATGTTCCAATCCATAAAAAAAAAAAAAGAAAATCAGACATTGTTCTACAGAGGCCAGGATGGAGAGCAAAGTGACAGGATGGCCTGTTGCCGTCTTTTGTCTCTGTAAAGTGAGCAAGGTAAGTGTTTGTTTTATTTGAGGTTTTTAATCTGTTGGTTTGTGTTGTGGATCTTGAGATCCATCTTGTCCACTTTATTCAGCAGAGAATCAAGGGAGTCGTCCTGGTTGTCAATCTCAGACTGGAGACCAAGTCCAAGGTTCTTCAGTCTGCTCAAGCCATCGCACATCTCATCTAGGTAATTCACACACAAAGACATCTGATACTAGTTAAACTGTGGATTGGCAGACAATACTTAAAGGGATTGTTTAAAAAAAAAAAAAAAAAAGATGAATATACAGTACACCACTATTCATAGTTTTTAAGTGACGTCACATTCCAAGGAAAAAGCTCCCTTGGAGGGCAAAAAAGACGTTATTTTCTGCTGCCTACCAACCAATAAGCAAGTGATACACTGTTACTTTGAGTTTGTTACTAAAATGCTGCATGGTTGTTGTGCTTTCGGATTTAATAATCGAGGAAGAGAGAAGCCTGAGCTGTGTTAGGTGAGGGATTCCCAAGAATGTAAAAGTAAACATTACCGCAGTTGAGCGGCGGCAGGGACCTGGCGGTTTTTAATGGTAGAAATGTGGCAGCGGATGCTGTAACGTTATATGGATCGGATATACCAAACAGTTTGTGTTCATATCTTTCTTTTTCTTAAGTTGAAAGGTGATCCAAATAAAATTTGCTTTTGCGGCATCTCTACGGGGGAGTCGCGGTGTTGGTCTGTTGTTTTGCCCTCCAGGTCACCGTGCATGTCACGTGACTGAAAACTATGAATTAGATTCCCCAATGGATAATTTATGGTTATAAATTTCAAAGAATAAAAAATGTCATTGTAATGGTATTTTGATGTAGGGTTAAGTGTAGTGAATTACGTCTATTTTGTTATACAGAATTACAAAAATGAATTACAATATTTAGCAAAATTAATAGAATTATCATTTAACATTACCAAAAGCTTGGATGTCATCTCCTTGAGCCATTCTTGTGACTGCATTATAATCAAGTAGAAAAACAAAAGAATTAAATGTTTTTTACCTAAATTTTTGTCGAGGGTCTGGTGAGCCTCTCTGAGGTGTCTATTCTGAGGGTATCCGTTCTGTGAGCTGTCGTCTATTGATGCAGAAGCTCCAAATCCTGGAACATGGAAATGAGAAATGGTAACAGCCTGTTTGTGTTATGGTTATGTCATATTAAGGTTATTGTGTACACCCTTACCTCCTGTTTCCAACTTTCTTAGGTTAGGGTGGCTGGCTTGGTACTTATCTTCATGTTCTCTGCTGCTGGACAAGGCATTCTGTAATCTGAGCAATCAGATAACTGTTGTTTAACCATTTAGTGAAGGACAGTCAATGACGAGAAGCTGGTAATTGCATACACATTTTACGCTAGCATTAAGGCCTTTGCACACCAAGGGCCGGATTTCCTAACACCCCGAATAAAGAGTACAAAAGTGTGTGTGCATTCTAAAATATTGCATATGTTATAATATAATACCTGTTATGGGCGATTAACTAAGAATTATTGTGTAAATTACAACAGGTGCAAACACAATGGAGGTGGCAGTAGTTGGCTTTTTGGCTTGTAGGATCACACTGCATGTAGTAAATAAATGTATTTGCATGTTACCCTCCCATTACTTTAATGGATGCAAAAGTAGTAAATGAACAATAGGTGCTAACTTGCACTTTTGAAACACGTCATTCTCCGTGCACACCGTTAGTAGATCACCTTACATGTTAATTTGCTGGTGATATCAAGTTTGCACTCGTTTTTACCTTTACTCACGCAAACCTTTAATAAATCCAGCCCCAAGTCTGTATTTTTCGTAGCTTTTTTGAAAATTCACAATTTGAAACACAATGGCATCGTCAAGCAGTGAGAATGATTTTGTGGACAACTCGTCTGCAAGCAGAGTGTCCATTACCTTCTGAAAATATGTTAAAGCTGGGAAATAGAATATTTTGATGTAGTTCCTTGATATTGTGCCTGTAATTATAGTTAACAGAAGACTTTTGGTGCATTCATAAAATATTTAATCCAAAGTAGTGGTGGGTGATTAAGTCTCTTCTTCAAAAACTCTTCAAAATTTTTGTGGCTCTAATGGTCAACCAGGACACTTGAGTAATATCTATACATCTCCCAACTCTATTTTAATCTGGTTTAAACCATTACGTATTTCCAACACAGGTCGGAGGTACATTGTCTAAAGCACATCAACAATTGACATTTTGTCCAGCTTGAAATTTGTGTCATCTTAAGTACCTGTCACTGGCTTGGTAAGCCTTTGGCTGCTCAGGTGGTGGCTTTGTTTCTGGCTTGCCCTTGAAGTAATTGACAAGGCCGCCCCACACACTCTTGATACCGTTTATGTGCCTCTGGCTGGTCTTCAGGTCCTGATCCATGTTGTCCAACATCTTGTCTGTCCTCTTCAGAACCTCGCCCTGTCGCATCAGCTCCTACAAAGACAGAAAGAGAGAGAGAGAAACCTGTCAAAACAAAAAACACAATCACCCTAAAAACCTAAAAAAAGAATTATGCCATAAATGCCACATACGACTAAATACACAGATGATGAATTAGTCAAAAGCAGGACAGAAATGTTGAAACACAGTAACAGTAAACTTAAAATGGCTGTACTAAAATGATTAAATTTGATATTAAAAAGTGGCATATATCCTGCAATTGGAACAACAGACTGATTACTCCTGTTTATTAAAATAGAGACAATCTAAATCCCTATAATTATAGGGGTGTAAATTCTAATTTGGGGAAACTATTAATGTAGTATATTAAATACAAGAATATTGTCCTATCTGATAGAAAGCAACATGCTAACATAAAATGACAGACCACGTATTTAGTTTCCATATTCTAATCCTAAATGTTGTCACTTTTCAGATTGTCAATGGAAGGGTATTGGAGGCAAAGGATTTTAATGGAATAAATGTAAATGACTAGAAAATTAGTGTGCTGTAAAAACTGGACAAAAAAGAAACATCTTTTCAAACAATATCACAGGGTTCATCAATGCTGAAATATATCTCCAATACTTTATAACATGTCTTTTTTATGCTGATGACCTATTACTGCGATCACAAACAGAACAGGGAATACAAGACTGTTTGAACATTCTCCATGATTACTGTGAAAATTGGGCAATCAGATAAAACTAAAATTATCAAATTTAAACAAAAGCGAGATAATAATTGTTTAAAATTTTGGGAGAGACAACAATGAGTCATACAACCTGACTATCACTGCTTCAGGACATTTTGCCAAGGCTCTAAGTGCATTGGCAGATCAAGCTTGTAGAGCTTATTACAGTACAAGAAATTCCTATTCAAATTCAAATTGAGTTCTGTAAAAACATACTGGGGGTCCACAGGAAATATCCAAACCACGGGCACAGAGCAGAGCTGGGCCTATTCTCAGTGGGTACTTAAAATTGCAAAAGCTATCTGAGCCCATTTAAAAATACCTGGAATGGAACATATTCATATGTCAAAGTGATGCTATGAAAATAACTCCCAATTCACAAATAAACAAAGATAATAAAATAAAGAATTATATTATTTATATAGAATTTCAATTAGCCCAATATTTAACCCACATAAAACATCCCTTAAAAAGACTAACCCTAACTACATATAGACTTCGTGACCATAAACTCGCTATGGAAACTAGTTGTCATAAGAGAGGATTGTTTGAAAGAACAAAGAGAATTTGTAGCCATTGTGGAACAGGAGAAGCTGAGACAGAAATTCATTTTCTCACAGGTTGTCCAAAATATAAGGACATTAGAGAAGATTTCTTCCTTCAGAAAATCCAAGACTTTCTAACCCTTCCAAAATACAGACCAATTCAAACACTTCTGGGAGAAGAAAGCTCTACATTAGAAGCAAGACACTTGTATTTGTAAGATACTTTTTTTCTTTAATTTAATTTTAATTATTTACTATTTATATTCTATTGTCTATATGTGACATTGTACTTTATTAAAATGTTTGATGCAAAACATCATCTACTAAAGAAAAAAAATTAACACAGAGAGAGAGAGAGAGAGAGAGAGAGAGAGAGAGAGAGAGAGAGAGAGAGAGAGAGAGAGAGAGAGAGAGAGACTACAAAAATGTTTTTGTTGATTGTCACCCTCTCAGAGACAAAGAAATTATTTGTGGGCCAGGGTAACACTGATTAGTTTAACATACCTCTGCAGTTTCCACACCCATCTTCTCTGACTGATAGATGAGGCCGAGGGAACGGTGACTACTGTCCACAGCAGACTGAGCTGTGCGCATCACTTCCTGCTGGAGGTACCTCTGCCTCCTTTCTGCATCACTCATCCCACTGTCACTGGGGTCGTCATCAAACCCCCGATTTTTAGGCTTAAAATCTTCCTCATCGTCATCATCTGCAAACGGGTTGTGGGATTTAGGGTAGGCCATCTGTGGAGCAGACACACAGTGTTTTGATAAAACAATCTTAACTTTTCCAGAGCTTTCAACCGTATCTCATGATCTCAATCATTGTCAAGGAGTTTTCTTTCCAGCTGTACAGTGGGGATTTTGAAATGGGAACAATCTAATAAATAACTTTACTGATTTATTGATCAAACATTCCAAAAACAGCATTGCAAATGTAAAGACTTGCTTTTCGTCATTTCATATGGTTATAAATGAAAAAGTATGCAGTACGGGACGCTGCTCTGAGTAGTAAGGTCAAACATTTTACCATACTAACTTATCTATAAAGTTTTGGCCTCTGGTTTATCTGGTTAACGTTAGCTACTCAGTTCATAGAAAATAATACAGAAGCCAATTCTATAGATAATGCTTAGTTGTATCCCTACAATAAACAATTTTAAAGATTGAGTAACGTTAGTAACGTTATCCCAACTTTGCGAAAAATTAATTCAAGATTGTTCACTTCAGCTTACGCTAGCTACTTTACAAAGTCCACACAATAAAAGAAGTTTTGAGCACCGAAGAAAGTCTGTCAAAATGTTTCACACTAAGAATCTGCTAAAACGTCTTCTGCATTGTATTAACGGAATGTAATGAACTAAGATCACTGCTTCAATAGCTATGGTTTCAAGTTTTAAAGCTAGCTAAAGGGTGTTGGCTAGCTAGTCATACCCAACCTAATTTACGTGGATTGACAGATATATAACCATATAACCACACCCACAAGCCCTGTGCCAACATTAGCGTTTCCTTCTCGAAGAATTGATGACATTTAACTGTAAATATCATTTGTACGATCAACTTAACAGACAAACCTTTGACCGTGGACAGTGTAGAGTGTAGAGCTGCTGCTCTATCAGCTGACCGTTAGCAACACAACACTTCCTATCACGTTTGGTGACGTTGGCGCGTGCTGTTCCTGCGCAACAAAAACGCGCACTGTGATACAGAAGTCACTTGTTAAAGAAAGTTAAATAAATATCATACTAGACGACGCCGTGTCTTGTTTTACCTGTTAGTTAAAACAGTATTTGTATGGTTAAATACAAAGCTACGTAAAGGTAGATAGTAAGCTGTCGTTGGGATTGTCCCTGCTACGTTGCCGTACTGCGGGTTTGCCAGCTGCCGCTGTTTGGCAGTTTCCTCTCATTGCCGAGCTGGTTCCATGTAGATTAGAAGTAAACATGTCTGTTATGGGAGGTGGTACGAGGGGTTTTTATTTCAACACAGTCCTGTCGCTGGCACGCTCTTTAGCTACCCACCGTCCTGCACCGGTCGAAAAGGTGAGGAAGGAGAAAGCCGAGTGAGCTCCAAAAGACACATTTGTGTTAATTAGCCAACGTTAAGCAACAGGGTTGTTCAGGGTGTAGCTCCGCTTCCGCACAGACTGGCTTTATTTTGACCACTGACCTCGCAGCCAAGCTAACATTTGGCAGTTGTGTGCGCGCTTGTTACTTTAGTTATGAATCAGTGGAGCGGGGTCTTCTCGGCGGTGTTTCTCCTGTAACTGAATAGAAGATGAGAGCAATGCAGAAGAAAGTGGCGTCGCTGCTGTTGTGGTGCCTGTGACTGCATCATACAGGCAGTGTAGTCAGGCTTGATCAGCGCTGCAGACAAACAGGTTTACACACTGAAGAGCGAGTGTTCGTGGCATGTTCTGCTTATTTTAATAGACAATAACAAACTTGTTGCAAGGGAGGGTTAGTCAAAATTAAACGACTTTTGTTCCGCCAATACTGGAAGGTCAGTGAGTTTGGGAGAGCTGCATTGGGAAGATCGATATTTAGAATTGGTGGAATCTAATAAAATATACAGGAATATATCGAAGCAATCATCAATACACTTCCACCGAGTACTTGTATTTTATGGAGCATATAGATTATATTTGTATGGTACAGTTTCAATGTGTATGTTGAGGGAATTAATTATAGTGAAGCAGTTGTCTTGCACTGTATCAAATATATGTTGTTATAATGGGCAGCAACATAATAGATTATGGTTCCCACCTTGATAGTAACATACAGTAAACTTTATTTATCTCTAATAAGGAAATAGGCAGGTAAGGTAAGAACAGAATACAGACAAGTAGGAAAAAAATGTACAAATAACAAAAAATCTAATTTAGAAAGATATACGGTAGGTAACCCTAGACCAGTGTGCATAAATGTAATGCACGTGTAAAACCAATTGTGCAATTTCCTGATATTCCTTGCATTACTTTAGCAAAAATCAATATTCTAACATGCAGTCACACTCAAACAGGCCTTTTAATGCAAACCGAAACAATATCATTTTAAATCGTTATGTTTTCAAAGCTGTAACTACAGACAGACATCTCTTTGTGCTCCTTCAGGTCCAGAAGCTACAATGTATGTGTCCAGTGGAAGTCCGCGGTGTGTTCACTCTAGATGTGCGTCGCAGAGATGCTGTTATTGCGCTGGCTGTGTTTCTGGTGGAATCTGGCTTACAGGTGGGTGGCAGTCAGTAAAATGTTTGGGTTGTTGAGCGTTTTTAACACAGTGGGTGCATTTCATCATCATGTTTTGAGGTAAGACCTTTAGGTGGTCTTGGCAGTTAATGGAAAATATGGTGGATTTAAGATCCAAACATTACATAAGTGAACATTGCATAGAGACGCAGTGGCATGATACACTTAGAAATAATAATTGTATTAGTACTATTAGTCTGCATTTGCCACCATCATCTCACAGGACTCTACATATATCACCATGATAAGCTTATTTTCATAATCTGATTAAGTTGGCGATTAGACATGCAGTGGACCATGTAAGCCTCTAACCTCATCACACTGACACACGAAGTGGAAAGCTTCCAAGCCATCTGATTATGCAGAGATGGTAGCTTCACTTTTCAGTGTTTAAGTAATGTTTGATATATGATTCTTTGACCCAGATTTTACTCTTTGTCAGAATTAACAATACCTTTAAAAAAACATAATTGTTTATCTATCCATGCTTGTTGGCCGAACAAACGTGCCCTTCTGTGCCTACAAGTGCAGTTGTTTGTGGTGTGTAATGATTTGCTTTGCTCTGCAAGCACAAAGACATGCTTGTTTCCTACTTGCTGAGCCTATTGAGAGGGCTACCACGGGTCCAATGGATCGAAGAAAGCTTGGGAAAGAAAGGAAAGGGTAAGAACAATCCTCTTACAGTGGCACCTTTTGTTTTGCAATGACCTCTGTTTACCTGCTGTAACAGTGCAGTTGTATCTGAAGTAATTCTTATTTATTGTTCAATACTGTCGCAAGACATATTGAGACAGTATTGATATCCATTCATACTGTGTCATGAGACACCAGCTTGTACTTCTCAAAAGAAAAATTGTGTTGGCCAGATATGACATTGGAACAACATACTGTGAACTACAGTTTGTCTGTTCCACTAGTTAATCTTTTGTTGTACAGCATTTAAAGTTTGATAACCTTTTAAAATTTTGATATAACCAGCCTGACATTATTTTTCATGCTGCACACGTATGTGGCATTTAACTGTATTTGTGTTTCTGTCATTTTCTGCTCTTCAGAATTTCTCCCGGTTGCAGAAAACTTCAGCTTCTGTCTAGTGACTCTTTTGGCAGATGTGGCTCAGAGGGACCCAGACTCCCGTCAAGAGGTCATTAAAAAGTGGTGATAAGATATTATTCTTACATTAGGGTGCATTGCAGTTGAGTGCTAAGTTAGTGTTTCTACTTTCCCCTCCAGATCTTGAACAGTATAATGGAGGTCATGCAGGTATTCCAGGACATGTGCCAAACACCGGATAATCATGATAAAGGTACACACACGCACACACACACACACACACAGGCAACAAAGTGCAAAACACCAGTCCTTCAAAAAGCCTCATAAATGCTCTTTTGGCTCTAGTCTACCTGTGCAGGTATATTGTCCCTAGCCTGTTCGGCATGACTCGAGCATTTGGCCGCTACAGCAACACGGACGAAGCCCTGTTGTCTAAGTTGTTCCCCAAAGATTCGCCCCAGGCCCGCTGCGTCACAGAGGAAACAGAAGGAGTGCGGCGCAGGTCCTTCAATGACTTTCGTTCTATCCTGCCATCCTCACTGCTTACAGTGTGCCAAAGTGACTCTCTGCGCAGATACACCGGGACCAACCTGGATTCCTCTGCACAGGTGTGTGTATAGTGCTGGTTGGATTCAAGACATAGAATATTCTTCCATGCTTTGTGCTTTAATTTAAATAAAAAGTAAATGAGCGAGAAAGTCCTTTTCTTTGAGACTTTGTTATGTTTGTGGGGTGGCAGTGGTGCAATGGATAAGACTATGCCTTTGGTGTGAGAGACCCGGGTTCAATCCCCCACTGTGACCCATCCACCATTGTGTCCCTGAGCAAGACATTTAACCCCTAGTTGCTCCAGAGGCGTGTGACCTCTGACATGTATAGCAATTGTAAGTCCATTTGGATAAAAGCGTCAGCTAAATGAACAAATGTAAATGTTTGGTTACCGTTTAAAATGTGCTGTCTCATGTAGGTCTGTACAGATCCAGGAGGCCACTCACCCTGCTCTCCTACAGCCCCTAGCCCGCATTACTTTGAAGGTAAAACTCAAGAAACATAAGCTGCTTTGATTAAATTTGTGTTTGCCAATGTGAATCTGGATTCTGTCAACTCATCCCGTCTTATCATTGCCAGCCGAAAAGATGATCAGTTATTGCAGTTTTCTTTTCATAAAGTAGTCTGTGGTGCTAAGGCCTGTGTGTGCTTTATGACAATTAAAATCATTTGTATACCTATTTAGCCAACTAAATATAAACTCATATCTCACTCTTTATATTGGTCCTACATCTCACTCCAGATTGTCAAATAAACTGTTAATAAACTTTTTTGTAATTACTGTACAGTAATCTTACTGAGAAACTGCTGTCCCCTGTCCCATGCCAGCAGTGTTTTTAGTGATAATCCATCCATCATTTTTCCTGCTGCTCATATTGGTTTGGACTCTGTAGTCATGCTGTTAAAAGGGTTAGCAGAGCAGTCAGATTGTTGTAAGTGGCCAAACCTATATCTGATTTAGATATTTCCACTTCAGCTTCATTTGACTTTGAATTTCAGCTTGTTTTCAGAATCAAAGCCAGTTCATCACATGTCTTTTGTGTCTCTGCTCTCCTTCATTTCAGGTGCCTACCCGCCAGACAGCAGCTCAGTAGATCCTGACTACTATTTCTCTACAGTCAGCTCCAGTTTCTCAATGTCTCCTCTCTTCTTGGGAGCAGGAGACAACGAGGTGGAGGTGCCTATTGATCTGCTCCGACAGCTCCTTGGCATGGTACAGTAGCCCACTATCTGTTTACCAAGATATTGCCTCTGTTGGCTTCCATCCTGAATGCGTATTTTGCGACTTTACCAGTGATGGTATGTATTGTTAATTTACAGGTGAAGAAGTTTGTTTCCGAGTCTTTTTTGGAAACACTGAATGCCACTATGACAGAAGTTACAGAGGTACATAAAATAACCACTCTCTGTACAAAAGAAAATGTGAACAGTAAATTCAAAGTTAAAATTCTGCCATTATCAGTTAAATAATCGTCTCTGTCATTGTCTCTTCTGTTTGTTGTTAAGTCTAATCCTGGAATCAACCTCTGTTACAAAACCTTCAGTGACCCGCTCTATGTGTGTGTGTTCAAAATGCTGAGGGACACACTATACTACATGAAAGGTAAAGCATCATAAATAGCTTATTTATTATGCATTAAAGCCTGCATTAAATTGCTACTGTTGTATTTTGTAGTCCATTAGGGAGACTGCTTGACAAATGTTCATGCTCTCTGCATCTTTCTCAGCCCTGCAGCCAGCATTTGTACGGGAAGTGCACGACTTTGTACTGGAACAGTTTAGCAGCAGTCAATCAGAGTTGCAGCGAATACTTCATGACACGAGCGGGCTGCTGGGTGAACAGAGTC